GAGTCTGTGAAAAGAGAGAGAGAGAGAGAGAGAGAGAGAGAGAGAGAGAGAGAGAGAGAGAGAGAGAGAGAGAGAGAGAGAGAGAGAGAGAGAGATCTGTGGCTCTCGCTCTCGCAGAAGGACGGTAGAATTGTCATTGCAGCTCTTTGGACATTTTATCCATGCTTTTACGGAAGGGCGGCAGACTGAAGGAGAAAAGTTAAGTGTGTGGCAACTGCTTCGACAGCTGTAAAAGGATGGAATGTTCAGCACAGCTCTTGCTCGGTTGGTTGATTGGTCAACACACCCACCTGTAGTCCGAGCCCAATTGCAATGAGGCAGGCCCAAGGAAATAACGGGCCCCATAGAAATATGGGTCAGTGACATGATTACTTAAGTATGAAAGTGGCAGACTGGAGTGCCTCTTGGGAGGAGGAAGGGACGGATATCCGTTACTAAGGTAGTGAGTAGGCTTGGGAGGAGGACTTGGGAGGAGGACTTGGGAGATATCTACGCCGGATTGGCGGGGGTAGCTGTGAGATATCGTCGTCGGAAGACGGTGAGAGGGTAGTGAGTGTGAGCGCTCTGAATGAGAGAGCACGGTGGAAAGGGGATGGATGAGAGAGCACATAGGAACGGGACAGTGTCAATGGGGCTAATGGTGGGACTCAGATGGGACAAAGAAGCGGGACACAGTGGTCAGACTGCCTGGTACAGACGCGTGTGTCGCAACTGGGGAGCTCCTGGGTCCATGGTAGGGTCCCCTGGTAGGGCGAGCACGAGACGAACATATGAGCCTGTGGGATGGAAGGGGGATTTTGCACTGGTAAGGCCCCTTGATCAGCAGGACTGGTGAAAGGGGGTAGTGAAAGGGGGTGGTGAAAGGGGGTGGCATGGCAGTTGAACAGGGGAAAGGGGGTAGAGGGGGTAGAGGGGGCTAGAGGGTATTGTAGCCCTCGTACTTCAGCTTTGTAATAGGTCTCCTGAGATACTTCTTCTGTATCGGACGGTCACGATTTGTTGTGCATACATTCTTTTGCTGAATTACTGCAATTGCTACTGTCAATTGAAAGGCTTGAAGGCGAAGGTTCTTGAGGCTTTCGCTTCGTAGATGGGCTTGGCTGATGCAATGAGTGCCCTCCCTCGTCCTGTATCGGAAATTGGAATCAGGGCTTAAGGAAAACATCTCGTAAAGCGGTGACGATGTCAGTAGATAAGATAATGCTCTGTGTTTCAGGGTATTGCTGTATGTTACTCCACTTCACAACTGAGCAGCCGCTCCTCTAGCTACTTTTTTCACACAGACACAGAGAGAGAGAGAGAGAGAGAGAGAGAGAGAGAGGGAGAGAGAGGATTTGTCGTCTTTTGTTGGTGTGCGCTTTATGTTAACTTGTAGCATGCCGTTCTTTTCTTATGCTTGCGTCCTGCGGGTGAAAGCAGACACGCCCGCTCCGTTGGCTGCTTCTCCCTCGTTTGCCACATTTTCTTTGGTGCTACCCTCACACGCGCAGAGGGGAAAACTTGGAGTTTGAGAGAGAGAGAGAGAGAGAGAGAGTTCTGAGTTGCGGCGGATTTGCATAATCAGTCATTAAACGACGAGTAATTAGTGGACATTGTTGTCGGCTTTTCTTTGGAAAAGGCTGGCGACCTGGTTAGCTGTAGATGGATCGATCCCATCTGGACCGTCTGATTTCCTGTCTGATTCCCTGTCTCTGTCTCCCTTTCTCTCGTTCCCTCCTGCTCCCTCCCTTTCTTAGATTGGATGAATTTGGTTTGCTATTCAGGCCAGGGACCGGGAGGGCTTACCCTCTTATTGAAGGTGGGAGCAGACCGACTCTCCTTTGACTTCTTCTGTCTTCACCTGTCGTAGTTTCGTAAGCTGAACTGAACTGAACTCTCAGTGAGTTCAATTGATCTGCATAATGGGAGTGGCCTCTTGGAATAGACAATGAACCATCATACAAGTTTTCGGTGTTTTTCCCCTCTGGAAGTGTAATCAAGATCTTGCATTTGCTCCTTGCGGTTGTGCCAATCAACACATTTTTTTGTGTGCGTGCGCGCCCGTGCACCTGTGTGTGTGGGGGGAGGGGTGAGGGGGGTGAGGGGGATGAGGGCAGTAGGCCGGAGGAGGGACATCAGATGCTCAAGAGAAACTCTTTAAGTTGTTGGCCTCTCTACCTCGCTCGTGTCACTTCGTCTACCGTCTTCACCTGAATAGAACGGCCGGTAATTATGGCCGTATCTGGACGGAAAGTTGCATCAAATACAGCTACAATGACCGGGGCGTTCTATTTGGGTGAAGACGGTAGTGCCATAATTGGTGTTATATGGCACAAAGTGATATTTTTCTGTTCACCCCAACATTATGTACCGCGATAATGAATGTATAGAAGCGATATAGCCGGTCAGGTACAGCCAAAATAAGGGTGCGTTGTGTTCGGAGGAAGACGGTAGAAAATTCTCGTCCACGGGAAACTCCAGTGCGAGCATGCCCGCCGTTTTCCAGTTTGAATTTTGAACGCTCCTCAGCAGCAAAATTCAGTTTAATAAATATACAGCGATCTAGATGTATGCGGGACAAAATTCAGTCTAGATACAGAGAATGATCGTCTTCCCCCGAGTAAAATGTACGTACGGACGGTCATTCTAGTTGTATTGGGGGCAGAATTCAGTCTAGATACAGTGAGAGAATGATCGTACGTTCTAGTCGAGTCCTGTTAAGGGAGTGCCGATAAGAAGTCTGCTGTCGCGTTGCGGGCAGTTGAGTAGGCGTTAGGGCCTCGCTCCTCTATTCACCAACTGAGCAAAACGAGGATGAATCTTCAGCTAGAAAATGAACAGTTACACCGCCATAAGTTTTTTTTTTCTTCTTTTTTAACTAATCTTTTTTTTCTTCTTTTTGAACTAATCTATGTTCTTCTACCAATCTTATCTATGTATATTATTCCCCATCTATCTCATCTATCTCATCTATCTCATCCTCTCGCTACTCTTATGTATAGTACCGGGGGGACCACCATCCAACCCTGGAACTGTCCCCAGCCCATGGGCTCATGGGCCCATGGGCCCATTGGGTAGGTTGGCACCACAGCAGTGGTGCGAGAGAGCAAGGCTTGTATTTATCAGCCCCTCATCACCATATGTCCCCAATGTGTCGGATAAGTGCTCTGTCGTTCTTTTCTTCTTCTTCTTCCTTTTTCTTTTCCTTCTGAAGTATGTCCCCCATGGGCCCTTGTGTTTACTCGAAAGGGTATACAGTACAATCTCTCAATCTCTCAATTTGTGGCGTAGAGCTCTTTCTAGCCCTGTCCATAGATCCTTTCTCTTCTTGCTGCATCCCTCCGATCTCCTGCCGAAAAAGATCGCATATCTCAATTGCGTCCCTCAAGAAGAGGGCCGGTCTTGAACTGTTGCCATCTCCCTCACCCCTTTCTTTCTTGAACCCCCCAGAGACCCCTGGTTTGGGTTCCTCTCCCCCTTCTCTCCTGCCCCCCCCTCGTCGGTGAATGCAATGCAATTCATGGCGGTGCGATGGGCGGAGTGAAGCGAAGCACCCCCATGCTGCGGTCTGGTCACGCAACTCACCAGGCATGCCCCTCTGCTCACTCTTCTCTCCCTCCTGTCCACTCTTCTCTCCCTCCTTTCCGCATGCACGCCATCACCTGTGGTGGTATAAATCTCAAAAGTGCAATTTTCTGTCTCTATTCTTGCGGAATTTAGCATGCACGTTGGATCGGCTGAATTGGTGTGCAACAGTGGTTACCAGATGCAACAGTCTGGACGGGCTGACGCTAGATGCAACAGTCCGGACGGGCTGACTCTAGTTGGGACAGTCTGGACGGGCTGATGCTAGATGCAACAGTTCCGGACGGGCTGACTCTAGATGCAACAGTGCGGACGGGCTGACGCTCGTTGAGCAGGGTTAAGCATGGTTGACGAGTGAGCTGCAGTGGAGTGCAGGAGCTCTCAGGTGAACTGGCTTGCTGATTGGGTTAAGCAGGGTAGCTATCACGCATGCATGCCATTGTGCAAATGGCGATGCGGAACGATGGACTGTCCACATAGAACTTGGTGAATCTTGGTGGTTGATGATCGAGTGGATTTCTTTTGCTAACCAATGAGAGGGGTAATGTGCTTCCCCTATTCCTCTTCCGCTATCTTGAGTAAGAATCCTATGGATATCTTTTGCCTGATCAAATGAAGCGCCGATGTAGCCTGAATGAATGTTTGTGTGCGCATGCTTGCACACGCACGTGTATGTGTGTGTGTGTGTGTGTGTGTGTGTGTGTGTGTG